GTATATTTTTCCTTGCAAGTGAAATATAATCCAGCTTCTCGCTTGAAATGTACCGCAGCACTTATTATTGATGACATTCAATATAGCAGGAAATCTTGTCATGATGAGGACGAATTTAGAACAGTATAAATCATGTTTATTAATACATGTAAAGTGAAGTATACAGCACTAATCTCGGCACTAATACATCTGGCGAATGTCAACTACTACATTCCCACCCCTCCCAGATTGACAAAACAACGCTAATTAAAAATCTGCTAGATTTTAGCAGATCACGTGACCAGCGTCCACCAGGGTCTTTGCTTCCCAAGAGCAAATACCCTGGGAACGAGGTTGACAGTGATATACACAAATACTTCAAGTTAACTTCTACATATACATCCAAAATCATCTCTGCACATGTGTTCAATATTTTCTGATTTAAAAAAATTCAAACTGCCACGCAAAACGTCAAATTGACTCTCGAAAACCCACCCACCCACTCAAAACGTCAAAATGATGTTTTGCGTGGCAGTTTGAGTATGGATGTCGCCCCTTACACCCCCGATAATATTCAAAATAGCAGATGTCCAGGGCACAGAATAGGAAGTTATACCAGAAGCGTAACTCTAGTCGTTTTCCTTATTGTTTGACGTCCACGAAAATTTTAACTCGCTCACGCCAATCCACGCCATCCTGGCTAGTACAGCCGGAAGTTTTTATCAGGTTTTGGTAGGTACAAAGTGCCGGTTGTACTAGCCAGGATGGCGTGATTGATGACGAATTGCTTGTAAAAACGCGGACAAATACTTGCTTGAGTTACGCTTCTGCTATACCTTCCTATTCTGTGGCATGGCAGTGGTTACGTTTTTTGGCTGAGTCGACCTTAGAACTGTGTGTCTTTATTCTGTGGTTGTGCTCTTGTTCTGCTCATGTGCAGTTAGCATCTGTGCCTGCAGTCGCGTCCACTGTATTCTTGGCATGCTGGAATTGCATCATTGCATCTTTACTGAACTACAAACAACATTTGAATTTACAATATACAGTAGGTACAATTATAAGTCCATCTAGGTACATGTACTTCAAGGCTAAAGTCGAGCAAAAGTATGCACAGCAAAATAAATATTTTTTGAAGTGACTAGACAGCCGGCTGTTCAGTAAACTGCCCGCTATATAGTGACTATAGTTAAAGTGGAAGTCAAGTCCATTCTGCGCATCGGTTCTGCTCATAACAATGTGAGGACCTTCTAATGTGAACATTGCCCAAACTTCGAATGTTTCGAATTTTTCTGAATATAAACTTTATTTCATATTCATTTAGAAGCATAGCGAACCAAAATGGTGTTAGATATTCAGATAGTACATCATATTTTAAAAAATACCAGGCACGGA